CTACCACCGAAACCCCGCAGCCTCCCCCCCTTCCCCACCACCTCACCTCTGGGTCCAAGATCCGGGTCGTCCCCAATCGGCCTCTGCTTTGGTTCATGCATTCTAGTAACTAGGTGTAGGGGATTTTTTCTTCCAGCAGCAGATGGGCTGGGCTTGTTGCAAAAGGCAGACTGAGGAGATTGCCCCTTTTCGTTTAGGTTCGAAAATTAAGCCCCAAAATACCTCGAAAGGGCAGCAAAACCTTAGGAGATATTTTGGATAATCTTCACCAACGAGAATAATGGTGACTTGCAGGTAGTTTTGGCATGCTTACAGATGGTCTTTCAGCTCAGCATGAGTGGCATGAGGCATGGGGAGCAAAATCAACATGGGTTTAGCACTAAGAGAGAGATTAGGCTTGGTTTATGAGAAATGAAATTGTTTAAGTAAGGAATGCGGTGCTTTGTGAGGGATTTTGACTAGAGAAAGAGAAAAGGAAAGGCATGGTTCTTCCAGCGGCTACTAGAAAGACAAATTTGGAGAAGGAGATGAACAGTGCACGAATCTGAGTTTTGCAAGGTAGAGAGAAAAGCTTGCTCTCTGCAGGTTGTGGGTTGAGTTTGTTGGGTAGGGGAAGGCTCAATTTATAGCTGCCGGAAATCACCATTTTTCAAGAAACCCTAATGGCTTCTACTTACTTTGGCTGAGCTTTTCTTCCTTTCTCCTCTCCTTCTCTGACTTCCCTTTCTTGGCAAAGATTGCTTCTGTCTATTTTCATGGATTCAGGGGATTTGGGGGCTCAACATCCTCCTTTCCCGCGGCTGTGCAATGAGAGCTTCCACTCTTGGTTTGCTGTTTTTTCTTCTTTTCTTTCCTCTTCCTTGGCTGAATCTGATGAAGGAAAAGAGGTGCAAATGTATGCTGGTCCAAGGGATGCTTCTGACAGCATGCGGGATGGTATTCATCGGTTCTTTGGATGTCTTTGGCTTGGGACTGGTTTCCAGCAGCTTTGCTTAAGGAGCCTGCCATCTATTCCTTCACGTGTTCTCTGTTTTTCAAAAAGGCTGAAGCTCTTGTGGGCTATTTTGGTTTTTTTCTAAGGGCCAAGATGGCTTTCTAAGCAAATGGGCTTGCTGGGCTTCTCGATTTGGGCTTATTATTTTTTGGTTGGGTTATCTCTTGGCTAGGTTATTTTGCTTGGGCTTTTGGGCTATTTTTTCTCTCTTGTGCTTACCCACATGTTTGGGCCTAAGAAATGGGCTTGAGTCTCGAGGCTCCCAAGCAACCCGAGACTTTCCGTTTCTCGGTCCATCAATGGGTCTCATGTTGATTTATCATCATCCATGCCACAACCCACTCAAGCAAGCCCCGGGTTTTTTGAGTGGCTTGGGCCCACCTAGGCTTGTAGCGTGGTTGGATGCGAGATAACGGCATGGCATGTTGCTTGGCATATTTTAATTTATCGCCCTTGGGAAGAATTGTTTTAATCTTAGCATGAGTTAATCATATTTTGTCGCAAATCATAGCATGATAATTTGTTTATTTTAGCGTAGCATGTAGACTATAACTCGCATGGATAGACCCTTTCTTCTTCTTCCCTTATGGAATATTGTATTAGGCTGATAATTGCTCGGGCCTAATCCATGGATTTTTTGGGCCTCAACAGTATGTTCAGTCAAAAGGGTGTCGAACGGTAAGGGTGATGTCAGCGTGCTTGTCGCATGCGAGTCCCTCACACATTCAGCCAGGTGGGTGTCGAACGATATGGGTGACCTCAACATGCATGTCTTGCATTGGTCCATGGCACGTTAGGCCAGGTGGGTGCCGAACGGTAGAGGTGACGTCAGCGAGGCTGCCATGTGGTACGTTCAGCCAGGAAGGTGCCGAATGGTAGGGGTGACGTCAGTGTGTGTGTCACATGCAAGTCCCTCACACGTTCGGCTAGGTGGTTACTGAACGGAAGGGGTGATGTCAGCATGCGTGTCGCACGATTTGGAGAATAGCTTTTCGGCCATAGACAATTTTCAATAAAAGCAATTTTCGGCAAATTTTCAGTGATGGCGCGATTTCCGGCATCCTTCTATGGCGGTGATAACAGGGTACGTCTTGTTTCGTCTCTTGTTTTTGGATCAAATTACATGTTGACTATGAGTTTTGTATGAATATATGAAGGACGTGGATGAACTGGTATGACCCTTGTAGAACACGTCTAGGAACTTGCTTTCAATCTTCACATGCCCATTAGTTTCTGTATTTTTCTGTTTGTAGATGTCTGATAACTCTGAAAGAGAAAGTCAGAGTCCAACTAGTCCTCATGCCTTCAGTGGGGAAGACTTAGAGAGTGTTGAAGCCTTGGGTACAGATGATGAGAGTATCGAGTCTGAAGGCTTGGTAGAGGGTTTGATAGTGGAACAGGGTAAAGTAGGTGAAGAAGAGCAATCAGTTAGCTCTGGGGGGAGGCTTACCGAGAAATGCAGAGGAACTATACAACTTTTGGAAGTTGTTGCCAATTGAGTTTTAGGTATAACACAGGCCTCATAAGTCAATTCTAGTGGATGGGGTGAGGCTTCTGGGTCTGGGACAATGATTGTGGCTTCTGTTAGTGTGAGTGTGCCAGTGAGAGTCCCTTTGCCGAGGCAAAATAAGTTGACCATTTATGAGTTGAAGCAGCTGAAGGTAGATTTCCAGATTCCAGATTGTGTGGGACTGAGGTTGCCAACGCCTACTAAAGCGATGAGGTACCCAACTGAGGGATGCGTGATGGTGTTCTCGGCCATCTATAAGAATGGTTTGAGGCTGCCACTGCATCCCTGGGGGCAGATGATGTTGGCCCCATCTATAAGAATGGTTTGAGGCTGCCACTGCATCCCTGGGTGCAGATGATGTTGGTGAGGCTAGGCTATGCCTTGGGGCAGTATAACCCCAACTTTTGGATCGTTCTGCATAGTGTGTACATAGATTGGTGGCTGGCCAAGCGGAAGGAACCATCCTTTGAGCAGTTCATGCACCTCTACTCTGTCTCCAAGCAGCAGGGTAACTTTGGTTGGGTGTAAGTGAACTGTCGAAAGGCGAATGAGGTGACCCTGGCAATGCATCGCCAGGAAATGCCCCTTGTGAATGCCTTCCTGACTGGGGTAAAGATTGACGCAGGGGAGCTCGCTCGGACCAAGGCTACCAACTTTCCCAATGGGGTCCAGAAGTCCATTCTCTCCACCGCCAATGTAAGTGGTCTAGTGCCTTGGTTAGAAATTGAGAACATGGATTTTATGGATATAGCCAATGCAGATTTGCTTAGTAGAGCTCACACCTATCTAAATAATCCCATCTACTCATTCTATCTCACCCCTTGGAAGTTGTATTTTGATGGGTTTAAAAGCGATCTGGCTTATAGAGCAGGAATTGTTTTAAAAGATCCATTGGGAATCAGATACTGTTATTCATTCCAGCTAGATTTTCAATGCACCAACAATAGAGCAGAGTATGAAGCTTTGATCATTGGCCTTGAGATGCTAAGAGATTCCATGCTTGTTATGAAGCAGATTGCCGGAGAATACAAGTCTTTGAATCATTCCTTAACTGTTTATTTGGTGGCCGCCTGAAATCTCCTGGCAGAATTCAGGGAAGCCACTTGGGAACATATTCTAAGAGAAAAGAATTTTGCAACCAATGAAAGGGCTCAAATAGAAACAGGAGTGCAAATACCTGAAAACTGTGTACAGAGAATCATCAAAGTGGGGAAAAAAAAGTCTACCATCTGTTCTGACCAGGGGAATGGAGATAGATGTCAATTCTGCAATAATGACTGAGGAGGATTGGTGATTGCCTATAATTAGTTATCTGCAGTATCCAACCCTTCCTTCCGAGAAGAAGATAAGAATCATGGCTTTGAACTATCTCACGTGGAATGGAGACTTAGTTCGAAAGAGCAAGGATGAGCTACTCTTGAGGTGCTTGGGGAAGGAAGAATACATGAAAGTCATGGGAGAAGTCCACGAGGGAATCTATGGAGCTCATCAGAACGGAAGAAAAATGTGTTGGTTGATCAGAAGGTAAGGTTATTTCCGACCAACCATGATGAAAGACTGCATAGAATATTCCAAAGAATGTGAAGCTTGCCGGAAACATGGACCAATCCAACAAGCTCCCTTAACTCCCATGAATCCAATCGTTAAGCCATGGCCATTCAGGGGATGGGCAATGGACCTCATTGGTAAGACCTATCCAGCTAGCAGCAAACACCACTATTTCATCATTGTGGCTACAAATCACTTCACTAAGTGGGTGAAGGCTAAACCAATCAAATCCACTACATCTCAAGAGATCATCACTTTCATTGAGGAGCAAATTGTACACAGGTTTGGCATACCTGAATCAATCACAACTGACAGGGGGACTTCCTTCATATCCAAGGAGATGCAAGATATGGAAAGTAGGCTCAAGATCAAGTTACTCCAGTCTACTCCTTACTATGCTCAGGCAAATGGACATGCAGAATCAAGCAATAAGGTGATCATTAATATCATCAGGAAAATGCTTGAGGAAAATCCAAGGCAATGACATGAAAAGTGGTCAGAAACCTTATGGGCCTAAAGAACTTGAAAGAGAGTGGCAACTGGCATGACCCCATTGTTAGATATATGCCTTAGAAGTCAATATAAAATGGATAATTTAAAGGAAATGATATATAATAGTAAAGGGGCAAGAACGTTGCTTTAGATATATAACGTACACAAAGTAACAAGTCCATGAATTAAGATATAAATGGAAAATGGTCTAAAGAAGTTGGATGTATGAGACCTTTCCATACATATAAATATCGTATCCTAAAAGGTTCCTGGTCATAGGATCACCAATTAGACAATGGTGACCCGTAAAGACTGGTACACATTATGTCTGCTCAATTGTGAGGATGACTAGTTTCAAGTCATTCGTGTAGAGACACTGAGACAGATGTGTAGGTACTCTATAAAAGATGGAGTCTACTAAACGTGATCATGGAAATTAATCCTTAGACCCGGGACATCACAGTTGTCTTGTGTATATGTTGTTTCTCTTTGAGAACACTATACGGTCGTATCAAAATGATGTGACTTAAAGATATTCCTCAGGATTCTCAGCGTGTACGCAGAGACAGGTAAATGTACAACAAGGAATCTCTACTCTTAGTAAGAAGAGAGAATACTCTAAAGATATGATTCGTGAATCTTTGGCCAAAATATTGGATGGAAATTGAAACAAGAACGTTTGCAATTTCATCAAATTGAATAATATAATCATGAGATGTCATCTTAGGGATTTTGACACAAGTTTACCATATCCCGAGAATATGACATAGAGTATTGAATTAGAGAATGATCGAATTGCATTGTAATCACAAACTGACTAGGTTCTCTAAATGAATTCTTTTTAGGTAGGGTAGCCATAACATACTGCTAGGTGTCACTCATGGCTTATGGAAGCTCTGTAAGGACTAATTATAATTAACTTTCACCAATAGGGAGAATTGTATGGAGGGATACAATTCACACTTTATTTAGAGTGAATCATTCATACCCACCACCTCGCTAATTAGAACCTACAAGATCGCACACCGAAAAAGGAATCAATTGGGAAATTATGAAGAGAGTGAATGATTTTGTGACTTGGTCAAAGTCAATGTGAAAGCAAAGGTCAAAGTCAAAAGTCAAAGGCCAAAGGTCAAACGGTTGACCCAACACCTGACACGGTCAACTAAGGAAGACCGGGACCAACACTCGTTAGACAAGTAAGTGATTGAATTAGTCAAGTCACTAGAGTAATTAAATTGATTAGATTAATTTAATTATTCAATTAAAGTTATGAAACTTTAATTAAAGGTCCCATATGACTTGGAAATTTGTAAGGGATTTAACCATATTGACTTAGCACATATGTGACACATTATAGGATTAATGTGTTGGACCAAGATAGCAAAAGATGACACACACAAAAGGAAGTGTGGCTACAAAAGGGCTTGGGGGCATTTTTGTCACTCTAGTTACATTTTTTATCCTATAAGTGTGTAGCTATGGAATCATATCATCCTAGGGTTTTTCAAGTTGGTGAAATTGGAAGAGAGAAAACATCAAGCTCTCTCTCCCTAACCCCTGAATCTATCACATCAAGTGAAGGTGCTAGCACCACTCTTCACTTGGTGTGTACTCATTCTCTCATCCCATTCAATCCTTGGTGATGAGCTTTGGGGAGGTGCATATCTTTGTACCTATTTGAAGAGCTACAAGATGGAGAATCAACATCAAAGGGACACTCCCTCTACTTGAACACTATTCTTGGTTTCAAGATTCACTCCAAGGGTATGAAGATATTATCTCTCTCAAATAGGATTTAGAGAGTCTTTGGTGCACTCTTTCATAGACTTATAAAGATTGGGACCAAATGAGACTTGCATGAATCCCTAGTTTATTTAATGCTTACGTTCTTACTTTGATTTCATATTAGATATGGCATGCTAGGTGATTTATATTCTCAAAGTTTGGTTGTAGAGTTTTTAGAAATCTCTACACAACACCATTTCCACAATATTCACTTCACCCATATGCTCTAACCTATGGACATGATGCAATTCTGCCAATGGAAATCATAGTCCAGTCCATTAGAATTGCCCAGCAGCATAACTTAGTTGGAGAAGACTATTCACAGGCATTGCTGCTAGAATTGGAGGGATTGGACATGAGCAGAATTGATACCTTCAACAAACTCTTAGCAGGAAAAGAAGTTGTGGCAAGAGCTTATAATAAGATGGTTAAAAACAAGAGCTTTGAAGAGGGAGAAATCGTCTGGAGAGCAGTTCTGCCCCTTGGATCCCACGTGGCTGGTTATGAAAAATGGTCACCCACATCTGAAGACCCTTTTCTAATTAAACTAGTCTTTGGATTGGGGGCATATAGGTTACAGGACCAAGATGGAGAAGTCCATGCTGCGCCGATTAATGGCAAATGGTTAAAGAAGTTCTATTCAACTATGTGGGATTCACAAGCAGTACAAACAGATCCTGAGATCGAAGGAGAAGTGGATAGAACTATTTCTTGACTTCTGAATAGTTGATGTATATGTGGTTCATTTTTGTCTATTCTGCCCATCTGTGATGTTTGAATGAGGTGAAAATATGAAAATGCAAGATTGGCAAAAATAAATAGAACTTTTCATTCATAATTGTCATTAATAAATGACTTAAGTTTTATTACAGAATAGATATTTTCTAGAGGCCTAGTTTCTTGAGAGTCTCTTGCAATCCAGCCTTCTTAATGGAGATCTCCTTCTGGAGAAGCACTCCTTGATGAATGGAGGCCTCTGCAATCTCTAGTTCATGCCTTGAAGTTGCGACCATGCTCTACACAAGGAAGCTAGACTTGGTCTTCGCACCCAATCCAGCTCCAAGATTCTTCTACCTCTTCCTTAGTGCAGCTACTTGCTTCTAGAGGTCCTCAATGTGCTTCTCCAGCTTATCAGCTGCAGATTTACCAATGCATCTAGTTCTAACTTCTGCTTCTGATAGTCCACTACGTTGGCTTCATGCGTAGCCTTGCAGAATTCAGAAGCACTAAAGGAGGGTCTGAGATGTTCATATCGATTGTGAAGGTTGATTAAATCTCTAGCCAGACCCAGGCTGATCTCAAGAACAGGTCGAGGAGCCATGTTCTCCCTGTGCAGCAGGTCCAGATATTTCATCAGTTGATCAATAATTTCTTTGTTCTCATCTAGATCCAGCTCCGTCGACTGCCAGATTTTAATTCTATCCAACGCCTCATCCACTGCTTTGGACTTGCCTTTGCTTGGAGTGGCTTCTAATTTTTCAATCCTCCGCAGCAGAGCATCCAGGTCCATAGCTTCAAACTCTGCCAATTCTGGATCAGCAAAGGAGGCTATAGTTGTTGAGCCTGGGACAGAATGAAGGGGCATTTGCATAAACTAGCCCCAATTAGGTTCTGTCTCAAACTAAAATCAGGAAATGGGATTTTTAGGGCCTAGCAATACTTACAGCCACGATCATGGGCTTGAGAGGGCTTTAGTAGAAAATGACGATTTAATTTGCAACCTACGATTACCGATCACTGAATTTTTAGCAGTCCAAATTACTCAAATTTAAATGCTGAAAATTGTTTTAATTTCTTTTGTTTTCCTACCCTTTTTTTCTTGGTAACCAAACAATCAGTCCAGCAAAACCTCTATAAATGGCAGCGTGTTCATATTTTTTTAACGAAATGAAAACAAAAACGTAAAAACTGCATAAGCTGAGAGAGAGAGAGAGAGAGAGAGAGATAACTGGATTTGACGCTTCTTGTCGGCCTCAGACAGATTATCGAGATCGGCGACGAAGCGAAACCTTATGCGAGGGTTCTTGAGCACAACTGCAACAAGCATGCTAACTGATCCAAGTAAAATGCAAAGTAACCATAGTTGCCAGCTTAGTGGAACAGTACTAGCAAAAGCTCCCAAGAACTCTACTATGATAACTTGAAAGGCCACTGTGCAAACCATGACGCCTAGGAATACCCAGCTGTCAAACATGCCCACGAATATGTTCATCTTCTCTATGTCATGGCTGTTTATCTCATTAAACACCTGATAAAAACAAAAGCAAACAAACATCATATGTATGCAGGATTCGACTATTGATGCTGGTGTGTTAAGATTTCAGAGAGACAGACGGACACATGCATAGCCCAGAAGAAGTTACAGGCTGTATTAAACTTAATCCTGTTGATGATGCAAGAGAAAACTAGGGCTGCTTTTAACCAGTAAAATGTACCTCGCAAAACACAAATGTATTGAATATCATAGTGTCTAGAACTTCAGTTGCATCTGAACCAGAAAGTCCAAGTAGCTGTTTCCCATAGAAATTGAAAACTCCAAGGACAATCAGTTGATAGATACTCTGGCCACACTACTACAAAAAGTGAAAAAGACGACCAAAAAAAGACGACGGTAGAAGAAAAAACTGTCGTTGTATTTAAAAAGACGACGGTAACAAAAAACCGCCGTGGATAAATGACTTAAACAACAAAAAAACGGAGGTACTGTTGAATATTTTTTTTATAACGACGCACACAAATAAAAAAGCGTCGTCTTATTAAAAAGGTTTTCTTCAGAGTTAAAATCTGACTAAAAAACAACGACAGTAGATAAGACAAGCGTCGTCTTTTAAAAATCAAGTGTCCTTTTTTTGGTAAAGACATGGTTGTTTTGAAAGAACCGTCGTCTATTATATGTAAAGATGATGCTTTTTATACAAACCGTCGTCTATTATTTGTAAAGATGACACTTTTTATAAAACCCGTCGTCTATTATATATAAAGATGACGCTTTTATAAAACGGTCGTCTATTATATGTAAAGATGACGTTTTTTTATAAAAACTGTCGTCTATTATATTCACTAACAATTAAGAGTTTATTTATACTTTCATTAAATATAACATAAGATTTTGTGGTATCCACTAGTGTAAATATTTTAAATTGAAGATCAAATTTAATCATTGTATTCATATAGGGTCAAGGAGTGTAGCGGTAAAAAATCATCATAATCGGAGTTACAATAATCGTTAAATCATGATTTTTCATTTATAACCGAATATATTCACTAACAATTAAGAGTTTATTTATACTTTCGTTAAATATAACATAAGATTTTGTGGTATCCACTAGTGTAAATATTTTAAATTGAAGATCAAATTCAGTCATTGTATTCATATAGGGTCAAGGAGTGTAGCGGTAAAAAATCATCAAAATCGGAGTTAAAATAGCCGTTAAATCATGATTTTTCATTTATAACCGTCGAAATTTTTTGTCCTGTTACTTGATCTCTGAATGTTTATTTTTTTTCGATTTTTGGCGTATATGATCTCAAAGTATAAACAAACAAGTTTGACGGTTGGATCATTGAAACTAGTTTCTTAGAATGCGTATGCCATCAAAACAATATATTCAATAACAATTAAGAGTTTATTTATACATTCGTTAAATATAATATAAGATTTTGTGGTATCCACTAGTGTAAATATTTTAAATTGAAGATCAAATTCAATCATTGTATTCATATATTGTCAAGGAGTGTAGCGGTAAAAAATCATCAAAATCGGAGTTAAAATATATGTTAAATCATGATTTTTCATTTATAACCGTCGAAATTTTTTGTCCCGTTACTTGATCTCTGAATGTTTATTTTTTTCCGATTTTTGGTGTATATGATCTCGAAGTATAAACAAACAAGTTTGACGGTTGGATCGTTGAAACTAGTTTCTTAAAATGCGTATGCCATCAAAACAATATATTCACTAACAATTGAGAGTTTATTTATACTTTCGTTAGATATAACATAAGATTTTGTGGTATCCAGTAGTGTCATCTGTTATATGTAAAGATGATGGTTTGTTTAAAAAAAGGTCTTCTATTATGAAATAAAGATGACGCTTTTTATAAAAAAAAAACGTCATCTATTATGTAAAGATGACGCTTTTTATAAAAACCGTAGTCTATTATATGTAAAGATGACGATTTTTATACAACCGTCGTCTGTTATATGTAAAAATGACGTTTTTTTATAAAACAACCGTCATCTATTATATGTAAAGATGACGCTGTTTATAAAAAAACCGTTGTCTATTATATGAAAAGATGATGCTTTTTATAAAAACCATCGTCTATTATGTGTAAAGATGACAATTTTTTTTTAAAAAAAGCGTCGTCTTTTAAAACACGCTAAAAAATGGGCGCTTCAGTGAATTCGCGCTCGACAAATTTTCAAATTTTTTGGAGATCTCCTTCTGGAGAAGCACTCCTTGATGAATGGAGACCTCTGCAATCTCTAGTTCATGCCTTGAAGCTGAGACCATGCTCTGCACAAGGAAGGTGGACTTGGTCTTCGCACCTAATCCAGCTCCAATATTCTTCTGCCTCTCCCTCAGTGCAACTAGTTGCTTCTTGAGGTCCTCAATGTGCTTCTCCAACTTATCAGCGGCAGATTTAGTCTCCTTGTAGTCTGCAACCAATACTGTAGAGGGATGTTCTGTATTTGAGAATCAAAGCTGGTTGAAAGGTTTGATTTGAAAGTCACCTAATCTCTTAATACCCTTCTATATCTTGCTAGTGAATTCTAGATTAGTCTCTTTGCGTTTCTGGTATGTTCTTTGTCTCCCTAATTTTAGATTTTGTCTCTTTTGATTTGTCTGGTTTGTTTACATATATTTTTTTTTTATATTTCTAGTTTCTTTTTAGATTTTCTGATTTGGTTATCAGGAGATGAGGAGGAAGCCTACAAATTTATAACTTTTTCTTTTGCAGGTTTTCTATGTGAGTCTTTCAATCCTCTGCAGCTGAGCATCCAAGTCCATAGCTTCAAACTCTGCCAATTCTGGATCAGCAAAGGAGGCTGTGGTTGATGAGCCTGGGACAGAATGAAGGGGCATCTGCATAAACTAGCCCCAGTTAGGTTCTGTCACAAACTAAAGCCAGGAAATGGGATTCTGAAACTAATACCGAGGCCTTTTGTGATAAAAACCTCACACCTGACGGATTGGGCGGGTGGTAAAGTGGGGACAGTATCGGTGTTGTTAGAGTGGGACCCAACGGGCAGATCCAAATTTTCAACAATCTGCATGAACTAGCCCTAGTTAGGTTCTGTCACAAACTAAAACCAGGAAATGGGATTCTGGGGCCTAGCAATACTTACAGCCACGATCATGGGCTTGAGAGGGCTTCAGTAAAAAATGACGATTTAATTTGCAACCGACGATTAGCGATCACAGAATTTTTAGCAGTCCAAATTACTCAAATTAAAATGCTGAAAATCGTTTTAATTTCTTTTGTTTTCCTACCCTATTTTTCTCGGTAACCAAACAATCAGGCCAGCAAAAGCTCTATAAACAGCAGCGTGTTCATATTTTTTTAACGAAATGAAAACAAAAACGTAAAAACTGCATAAGCTGAGAGAGAGAGAGAAAGAAACCAGGTTTTGACTGTTCTTGTCGGCCTCGGACAGCTTATCGAGATCGACGACAAAGCGGAACCTCATGCGAGGGTTCTTGAGCACAACTGCAACAAGCATGCTAACTGATCCAAGTAAAATGCAGAGTAACCATAGTTGCCAGCTTAGTGGAACAGTGCTAGCAAAAGCTCCCAAGAACTCTACTATAATAACTTGGAAGGCCACTGTGCAAACCAAGACGCCTAGGAATACCTGGCTGTCAAACATGCCCATGAATATGTTTATCTTCTCTATGTCACGGCAGTTTATCTCATTAAACACCTGATAAAAATAAAAGCAAACAAACATCATATGTATGCGGGATTCGAGTACTTATGCTGGTGTGTTAAGATTTCAGAGAGACAGACACATGCATAGCCCAGAAGAAGTTACAGGCTGTATTAAAGTTAAACGTGCTGATGATGCAAGAGAAAACCAGTGTTGTTTTTAACCAGTAAAATGTACCTGGCAAAACACAAATGCGTTGAATATCACAGTGTCTAGAACTTCAGTTGCATCTGAACCAGAAAGTCCAAGTAGCTGTTTCCCATAGAAATTGAGAACTCCAAGGACAATCAGTTGATAGAAACTCTGACCAATGATATTCCACCACATGGCCTTGGTTATGAAGCTTGAACCCCTCCCAACAGGGGGCCTTTTCATAAGTCCATCATTTGGAGGCTCTGTTGCCAGTGCCAATGCCCCAAGAGGGTCCATAATCATGTTGACCCAAAGCAATTGCACAGGGGTAAGGGGAGCAGATCCTGAAAGAGATGTGAAATTTATTGTTATTTATTTGTGTATTTCTAAACAAATATAATGGTGTAGCATGCGAGAAAAATCTGCCAGACCAATATACCTGAGACACATGCAGAAACAAAATTGATTATTACAGCAACAACGTTAACTGTCAACTGGAACTGCACAAACTTTTGAATGTTTACGTACACTGAACGTCCCCATCTGGCCACATTTACTATAGTCTTAAAATTGTCATCCAATATGATGACATCAGCACTTTCCTTGGCAACCTGCATATACCATCCATGAATTGGCTATTTAGAACTAGGAACAACATCCAATTATCAAGCAGCCAAGAGGTGTTAGAAAGCAACATAAATTGACAAAAAGAACAAGACACCAATTTCTTTTTCGAGTAAATGTTATACAAGTTACAACAATCAAGTTGCATTCACCAGCTTCTTGGTAGGAGGGTACTGAAGAGGGCAGTTCTTATCACATCTAAGGCTTTTTCAGGTTATATCTGTCCAAGGGTAAACAAGGGCACGAGGCACCAAGAATATATCTTTAACATAATTGTTTTACTCAGTAACATGATGCGCCATGTGTCCTACCATCAAAGATTATGTGTCTTGTCAATGCATGCTACATGCGACATACATGAAATGAGTTTGAGTATGTGACAAATCATGTTAGTAGCCATGTCATGGAGTAAATCAATTTTATTGGATGAAAACATTTGAAAGTTTTAAGGAAAAAAAAGCTGCAAAGTGATAGTAAGGAGAAGTTATGGGAACCGAAATTCCAAGGAGAAACATAGGATTAAATCATCAGTCTGAAAATGGGTGTTATAGAATGAGTTAAAAGAAGTGAGTCGCTTCCGGCTTGGCTTGTAGTCGTAGTCTTTTAGCTTATGTAGTGGTCGGCCTTCCTACACGCACGCACCTGCTGGAATGCCTCTTTGGTATTTGAGTAAGATGATTATTGGTCATCAAGGTTGAGATACACACAAGAAAAAGTAGCTGAGACACAAACCTCTGTTCCTGCTATGCCCATAGCAAGTCCAATGTCTGCCTCGTGCAAAGCAGGAGCGTCATTGGTCCCATCGCCAGTCACTGCAACTACCTCTTCATCTTTCAGAGTTTTTACCAAGGTGTGCTTATCCAACGGTAAAGACTGAGCCATCACCTGTACCCACATGAACATTTAAATTTTTTGTGAACATCTTTAAATAGTTATGGTTGAGGGTGAAAATTTTCCAATGAAATTATTTAGTAACCTGAATTCTCGGTATAACAGCTTTCTTCTGCTCAAGAGACATGTTACGAAACTCCTGTCCTTCTATGGCTAAACCATCTTTTGTGAGTATGCCACATTCTTTAGCTATGGCTTTAGCCGTATTTAAATTGTCACCAGTGACCATTCGTACTGTTATTCCAGCAGCTAAACAAGTTTGAACTGCATCCTTGACCCCAGGGCGCACAGGATCCTTGATACCAACAACTGCTATCAATGTATAGCCATCATCTGGGATGTCATTTTCGATGGAAGAGTCATCTATATTTTTGAAAGCCAAGCAGAGAGTTCTCAAGGCTTCAGAAGCAAAAGAATTAATGACATCCGTGATAATCTTTACCTGTTCTAAGGAGAGAATAACAGATTCTCCATTAAAGTCAATAAATTTGTTACACATTCCCAGTACTATTTCTGATGCACCTTTGCAAAAGGCTCGTTTCCCACCATGAGGATGAGCTACAAGCACAGACATTTTCTTCCTCACAGAATTGAAAGGTTCAACCTTAAGAATATTAACCTCTCTGCGCACGGCATCAAAATCGCCACCCAAAAGTAAACCAAATTCTAATAATGCTGACTCTGTTGGTGTCCCCAAAATGGAGTTCTTTCCATCTTCCTTAATAACCTGAGAGCTTGTATTTTGGAATATAACCTGTAACAGGATGCTTGATGCTCCAGATATTTCTGATCTCAATATTTCTCTACTCTCATTACCTCTTACATCTAAAAGATTTTCAGATATCCATATCTTGTTAACTACCATGTGGTTTGTGGTTAATGTCCCTGTTTTATCTGTGCAAATGCAATTAGCAGAACCCATTGTCTCACATGCTGAGAGATGCCTTACGAGTGCCCTATCATTCATTAATTTTTTCATAGCAAAAGCAAGGCTCAGCGTTGCTGCCAATAGTAATCCTTCGGGAACTGCAACAACAATTATAGTTACCGCAATAGCAAAGTAGTTCAATAGGATTACTGCATCGGTTGAAGACCAATCAGTGATCTCGTTGTTAAGTATTTTTTCCACCAAAAATCTTACTGCCAATACCAAAAATGTCAACACAGCAAAAGTCAGACCAATTTTACCAATCTTTCTAGCAACATCATTCAGCTTTACCTGCAGTGGGGTCTCACCTTCTTCTCCTTCACTCAGAGTTTCCATCAACTTTCCCCGTTCAGTTCTCATACCAACTGTTGTCACCAGCATTATACCTGACCCATCCTGCACTCTAGTTCCTGAAAGAAGAAAAGGCTTCTCTTCATATACATGCACCGGCTCATTCTCACCTGACAAGCTTGACACATCAATCAGCAAAGAGTATCCTGATATGAAAAATCCATCAGCTGGAACTTGGTCCCCAATTGACAAATGGACAATATCTCCAACAACCAAGTCATAAATGGAAACTTTTTGTCTTTTTTTATCCCTAGTGACCTGAACGAAAATCTTTTTCTTCTCCCTGTCCAAATCCTTGAATTGCAATGACTGTCTGTAGTCACTAATGGCAGTAACCATAACCACTAAAACTATACTAATTAAAATTCCCACACCATCGTCCATGCCTTTTGGCCACCCCTCAGTGGCAATTCCAACTCCTATTGAAACCACAGCACATACCAGAAGGATAATTAATGTCAAGTCTTGTATGGCTTCCCATACAAACATAAAAAATGTTGCGGGAGGTTTCTCCGTATAGCGGTTTAAGCCATAAACATTTTGCCTGATTGGTATGTTACTATCCTTGACACCTTCATCTAGCGAGACAGAGACTTTCCTTAAAATCCCATGAATTCCACCATGCATTTTCAAGGCCTTAATATCACGGCCACGCGTGATAGATGCAAGTTCATCTGGGTAAATGCTGAAACCTGCAGTTCTGGCCTCTTCATACAGCTTGTATTCATCCTGTCCTGGCTTTTCATTGGATCGATCACCAGCACCATGCATTTTCAAGGCCTTAATATCATGGCCACACGTGATAGATGCAAGTTCATCTGGGTGAATGCTCAAACCTGCAGTTCTGGCATCTTCAGACAGCTTGTATTCATCCTGTCCTGGCTTTTCATTGGATTGATCACCAGCACCAGCTTCGTAAGATCACATCAGAAAGAGAGAGAAGGAATGAATACATACTTGACCTATAAACTTAAAGATGATACCTTTAATAAACTGCAGTGCTGCTTTCTGAACGCAAAGAGCAACGTGAATCTTTTCCTGGTAAAACAAAGAAGAATAACAAAGTCAAAAAACAGATGACAATCATAGTCCCCCAGAACTATAGTAGCAGTAAAAGTTCACAATTCAAAGTCTTCAACTGAAAATAACAGAGTAACCACCGAGTATATTCAAACATATATAGCTTAGAACCAAATTTGTGCATCTGCACGCATATATGCAGTTGTTTCTCCTGTACGGTCCTCAAATAAGATCTTGTCCTATTATCAGTTATTACATCAGATTTGAACTACTCTCAATGCATCTCAGCATTCAATATATACAAGGTATTAAAAGTTGTTGCAGGTCTGAAAACACAAACATTTACAAAACTATTAACAAACAATTGATATAACTTATTTGGGACTACTTCTCTAGGAAGCACTTCTGCTCATAAGCGCTTCTAACAAAAGCGTTTTTATTATAAAGTTGTTGAAAATTTCATTAAAAATCGAAGTGCTTCCTGAAAAAGCACATGGCAAGTGCTTCTCCAGAAAGCACTTCTATGGCCTAGAAGCACTTCTAAACTTTTTTGCCAAATGTCGTCAAAAGCGTTTTCGGTTGTCAGAAAGCGCTTTTAGCTCTTTCAGAAGCACTCCCAAACGAGCCCTAAATGAAGCCCAAATGTTACCAAAAAAAACTTTCCTATATTTCTAAAGGGAGAATTCAAAAGCCTATTTTTCAATTTTGTTTGTTTTGAACAAAATAATCTTCCAGGTTTGAAATAGTATATTATGGGATTTCAACAACTATCATGATCATTTGGTGGAGTAATAATTGGTGGTGACAATTATTATTTCAGTAAGACGACCAAATCCGTGTGTGCACCGTGTTTGACTGAAAATCACAATCAGCTGAAATTAAACAAATAGTTGAGCATGATCTGCCAACTCCTGCAACTCCCTTTTTGGTTTTATAATCAAACAAGACGTTATTTTTTTACATTTTTTGTTCCCTTGCATTGGAAGATGAAGTCAGGTCTTTTTATTATATTCGTACCCATCAGCGCGACCAGAAAAACTCTTTTTTTATTTTAACGTTTTTGACTATGCGTCGTTTTTATGTAAACCAGAGACTAACCTACTACGCGTCGTTTCTGTTGAGGCAAATGAAATTGAGGTTTTTAATTTTAAACGCAAGTACCTAATTTCGACCAAGCGTCCCTTCACAAACAAAAATAAAAAGTACTGCATCGGAAAATTGATATTTTCTTTTCTAAGAAAATTTCAAACCTCACATTTTTTGTTCTAGCAATGCACGCGGATGATTTTCCTATCTCCAAGGCGTAATGGAGCCTACCAATACAATAAATTAGTACACAAGGTTGTATGATTTTCCTATCTCTATGACATAATGGAGCCCGTCAATACAATAAATTAATACACAAAGTTGTCTATAAATGTAATCTCCTTACATTTTCGTAGTCAGTCAAACGTGAGTCCAACCTAGGGTGGGGGCATCAATATAACGAGCTCTCAAAACGGAAGGGGATCGAAAAACATTACTACAATAAAGAAATGGCTTAAGTGCTACAATGCCCCCCGAAACATTGGTCAATTCTCACTTTACCTCCTTACCAAGATTTGATATTTAAAGTGACTCACTTTACCTCCTTATCCAAGATTTGATGTTCCACATTGTCCCTACCGTTAACTCTATCCAAAAGTCCTTTAAGTTTGATGACGTGGCAGTGGTGTTTTAGTAATTTTGTGCACCTAAGTTTTTTAATTACTTTAAAAAATTAAAATACACACATAAAATTGAAAATAAAATAGATTTTATGTGGAAAAAAAACACCCTACCCATCCCTTCTCCCCCAGTCACACCAAATCCTCCCATTCCTTCTTTGTCCTTGTAACCCCCCACCCACCAGAAACCCATCGCTCCCCAGAACCCAAAAACCCATCGCCCCCCCTCCCCTGGTAAACCACTCTCCCTGGGCAAAACCCAAAAACCCACCCCTCCGCAAAAATCAAAACAACCCATCCATCCCAAAAATCAAAACAACAACCCTCCCTCTGTTTTTTCTACCCCACTCCCATAGAACCCCAACCCCCATACCCATTAATTAGCTTTCAAGTTTCATGCCTCCCATCCCAAAAATCAAAACAACCCTCCCTCTGATTTTTTCTATCTCACTCCCACATAATACCCATTAATTAGCTTTCAAGTTTCATGCCTCCTGTCCCAAAAATCAAAACAACAACAAACGAAGAGATGAGAGAGAGAGAGAGAGAGAGAGAGAGCAATTTTTTAAAGTTTTAAATTTTATGTTTGTATTTTAATTTTTTAAAGTTATTAATTTTTTTTTATCAATGATGGAGGTGGGCTCCATTTTACCATATTACCCACTCAAATTTATGAATAAAAAATTTAGATGCACAAAATTACTAAAACACCCCTACCACGTCATCAAACTTAATAGACTTTTCGATGGAATTGACGGTAAAGGGCAATATAGAACATCGTCAATTGAGCAAAGTGAGTCACTTTAACTTTCAAGAGGTAAAGTGAGAATTGACCGGCTCATTGTAAGCCGAAACAAATCCTTATGCCTGCTTGTTTGGCAGCAGAGAAAATCAAGGAAAGAAAAAACTTCTTGTCTTTCTTTCTTTCATTTTTTGAGTTGTAATCCAAAATGCTCACCTAAATAAATATCATCCATTCAGTAGGAAATGACGATTTAATTTACAACCTTTTTAGCGGTCCAAATTACACAAATTAAAATACTGAAAATCGTTTTAATTTCTCTTGTTTTCCTACGCTTTTTTTCTCGGTAACCAAACAATCGGGCCAGCAAAACCTCTATAAACGGCGGCGTGTTCATTTTTTTTTAACGAAATCAAAACAAAAACGTAAAAACTGCATAAGCTGAGAGAGAGAGAGAGACCTGAATTTGACTTTTCTTCTTGGCCACGGACAGCTTAGCGAGATCGGCGATTAAGCGGAACTTCCTAAGATAGTTCTTGACGAGCGCGACGGCTTTTCTCCATCTCCGAATAGTTTCCTCCGAAGGATTCTTGTTCTCCACCACGAAGTCCTTCACGCACCTCTCCAGTTCCACTGTTTTTTTCTCTGTCCTCACAATATTCAGAGAGACGCAGAAAAAGAGAGAGTCGCTCAGAAGCGAAGACTAGAGGGAGAGAGGGAAGGGAACAGGAAGGGGAAGCCAAAGGTGTGGACGACTAGAAAGCGGGAAAGGGAACGTACTTTTAAGATCCAGAAGTCCACACGCGGATGGTTGGACGACTAGGGAAGATTCCGTACATATGCGCGCAAAACGTTTGTCCTGTGGACTGCCGTAGATGGAGGCCACGTCACGTAGTTTACCGCGTTGGTTGGTGGGATTATTTAATCAGAGGATACTGTTTACGTGTGCATTATTAGCGGGAAAGCGTCGTCACATGATTTTGATTTCCTTGGCGGATTATACAAATTATAAAGTGACACTAATTTTCCCTTTGAGGATTAATTATAGTGGTTAAATTTTGGACTCATCACGTTTGTCTTTTTTCTTTTTCTTTTTTTCTTTTTTTTTTGTGAAAATCACGTTAGTACTGAAGAAGTATCCCAGACTTTTTAGTTATAAAGAAAAATAATAATAATATCTTGACCAAAATACCCTAATTCTGAAATTCTCCAAGTTTGACTTAGCATTATAGGCTAACATATAAGAAAAATTAATGTATAGACTATAGTTTAGTGTTTGCCAAAAAAGAGAGAGTATAGTTTAGTGATAAAAAAATAATAATAATTAAGATATCATAAATTAAGTATTTTAGTTTTGGATTTGGTGAATGGGTTTTGGATTTCATCCCCAACATCTTCTCACCTCTTTGACTATATAAAGAGTGTAGTATAGATTGCACAAAAAAATCCCATAGTTTTAAGCTTGTGGCCCCTCCAAATATCAAACTCTACCTCCGCCACTGCATGTGCCATTGGTCTTTTTTTAAGAATTAAAACAATAATGGGTAGTTGTGTTTCATAAAAATAAGACCCATTACCTGCTTTTTAAAAAAAATAAATTAATATACAAAAGTGCAAATTTACCATATTATCCTCATTAATAATTTTAATTCTTAATGTTTGCATTAACCAATGACATTTTAAGGATGATTTGGATCATTGAAAAAAACAATTTGTAGGGTATTCATCAAATAAAATTATTTGAGGAAATCCTCAATAGAAGGGAACTGTATATAGGGTCCTTCTTCGTTATGGAGTCCACTATGCGGATTGGTTATGAATATCTATTTTTGACCGTGCGATGATATCAACTTTAAACCCTTCATTTCTTCTTTCTTTCACCTCTCTCTCTCTCTTTTTAATTATTGCTTCTGTTTTCTTTCCTTTCCTTCTCTCTTCTCTCTTTGTTTCCCTCATTTATCCCTTTATCTCTCTCTCCTCTGTCTTTTTTTTCTTCTTCTTCTTTCTCTTCACTAGTTTTTTTCTTCCTCTTTATTCATTATCTCTTATCTATATTTCTCTTTCTTTCTTTTTTAAATCCTATTTTTCCCCTTCTCTCTCTCTAAGAATGATTTGAGGAAAAAAAAAATGTTATTATTTTGAAAGGTTTTTAAATTTTTAACGTTTTGATTTTGATTTAATATTTTGGCTGTTTTCTTTTATTTATTTTGGGAGTTAAAATTGTTTAAATTTTCAGTTTTTATTTTCTATTTATTGCCTTAATTTTTCTAGTTAAATGTGTCTGGAGGTTACGAGTATTGGATGCCTATAAAGGGTCACTCCTCCTTCACATTTCAACACATCACAATTAGGGGTGGGCATCAAAACCGGAATACCGAAACCATCCCAAAACTGTGTCAAACCGTACCAATCTTGTGCCGTCCCGTTTGGTGTTGACGTGTAAACGGGATGATACCATGTCATCCCGTTACTGTTTGGCACGACATCGATTTCACATTTGTGATCCCGGTTGGTGTCATACCATACCGAATAATACATGAGTTTTATTAATTCTAATTTAATTTCAGTTCGACCCCTACTCTCCTCCACACATTTCTTCGACTCCTCTTTCTCTTTGTTTCTCTGCGTCCTTTCCTTCCTCTGTCTAATTCTTCTCTTCTCTTCTCCGTTCTCGAAGCCGTAATTCCCAAATCCTCCACCATCAATCGATCTAGTCTTCTTCTCCTCCTCCTCCTCCTCCTCCTTCTCTCTCTGTTCTTCTCCAAACCAGTGGAAAAGGAAAGCCCCAACCCAAAGTCTCTGAGTTTTTGTTACTCTGTTGTGTTTTAAAACAAATTTAATTGTCATTTTTGTTTTTAATTGAAGGATCTTCCTCATTATTTTTTATTTTTAAGCGCTTTCGTTCTTTGGGTTGGGTATCAAAATTGTTGCATGTCTGTTGTGTATTATCATGCCTTCATTGAAAAAGAAAAAAAAAAGAGAGAGTAAGGATTCTGCTTTTTATGATTGGGTTTGGGTTAACAGGAACAATTCAATTGCATGAGCAATTAAATCTCAATGGTGATGGTGCATTTTAACAGGAACAATTCAATTGCATGAGGAATTAAATTTTCTTCCAGTCATTGCTCTTGCGTGATTAGAACCCAAATCCATGAAATTTTGCAAATTTTTTTTACGGCATCAACATTGATACCGAATCATACCGATCCCGTTTGGGTTCGGTATGGTTTGAACATGTTTTCAAAAACTCTCATCCCGTATCATCCCATCCCGATTCCCTTATTTAGGATTGACACCGAGATGACCTCCATCCCGTGTCATATCATATCGTGCCCAACCCTGATCACAATCATATTTCTTTATTCTTATACTTTCATATATTCCCTACTTTCCATATTATTTTTGGGCACTGGTTTTGTGGCTTGAAGATGTCTATCTAACTGTGAACACGCTCATAGCGGACCTTAAGCCTGCGTATTGAGGTCGTATCTTGAAGTCTTGTACACCGTCATTACTTGGACGTAGAGAGGCTACAAAGGCTGTAGGATAATGTCTTTGACGTGCTTTCACTATACCAGGCTTGCTTTTTTAATCTTAGCTTTTATTTGTTTATTTATTTGTTTTGTTAATTTTTACTTTACTGTTAAAACTTTATTTTATATATTATTTATATCTAAAAGTTTTGAATAGAAATTTTATAGAAAAGGAAAAACCACATTTTTTAATAACAATCTAAAGTCTTTGGCCCAGTTTGGGATTGCTGTGTTGTGAAAATAATTACTTTCGGATCTGCTGTAAGAGAAATCAGCTGTGAATGAAAGTAGTTTGTCGTTTGGTAAACTTTATATTGAAAGTGATTTTGATACAAAAATCTATTTAAAAGTTTTTGGTAAATATTTGTGTAAAACAGCTGTGAGCAGTGGAAATGACTAAAAAGGACATGATATTGAAATAAATTTTTATTCAATTATTTGGTATTTTTTTAATTCAAGTATGTTAAAAGTTTTCGTTACCGTATTTGCTATTGGTACAAGTTCAATTTAGTTTCTTTTTTAATTTAAAAATAAAAACAGAAAAGGACGAAACCTTCTCTAAAACATGACTTCAGTTTGCGAATGGCTGATGGTTTGAAGAGGAAAACTCGATATATCAAGACTTCGTTGCTAGTCAAACTTGAGATATTGAGTTTTCCACTTCAACCCATCATCCATTCGCAAACTTGCCAATGCAATGTGGGACGTCGTTGTTTACTGGCAAAACGACTCGAAAAACCCGCATTGGATATAATCGCAGCGTACGGAGTGCTTTAGGGATTTTGGAATGGAGTTTACACTATTTGAATGAGGGACTTAGAGATGGCATTTGGGGAATGTGGAACTTGAAAGTTCCATATGAAAAAGGATTTCAGAAATTTTGTGCAACTTGAAAGAGGAACTTTGGGAGGCTAAAGTCCCATGAGTAAGTAACACCTTAATAGGCGTTATTTCACAAAGAACTTCTTTACGCGAGTGAGATTTCTGTAATGCGAAGATGAAGAAGAAGAAGAGAAGAAAAAATAACGACGACGGAATTTTAAAAAAGAAGAAGAAGAAGACGAAGATTTTGGTGGAAGGTTTTGGATACTTCGTGGGGGGTTTATATAAGATTGAGGACACTTGCACCATGATCCCTCGGGGTATATATAAGAGCATCTCCAACCGACGTGTCAAACGTGCCACATAGACATTTAACAGTTAAAAATAACATCTCACATCACTTCAACCAATATGTCAAAGCTGATGTGGAATGAAGGCTGGAGGTTGAGATGTTATTTTTGACATTCTAAAAGCAAGATGTCAAATGAATATTTTATTATTTTTTCTTTTCTTTTCTTATTAATTAAAAATGAATCAACACTAAAATATAATAATTTAATAATTTAATTTGACATATCGGGTGGAGTGTAAAGCTGTGTAAGATGTCAAATTGCCATATCAGCCATCAAATTTAAATTTGATGTTTGGTATTTGACATCTCCCTGCAGCAATTGATGAGCCAATAAGAACCAATCTGGTGTTCCGCTGCAATATTAATGCTGGCAGTAGTGGTCGGTAGACCACACTGTATGCATTCATGGTAAGACTGAAAACCATTCATGGTGCATGCGTGTTCTATAATTCTATTCAGTTCTTCTTTTCAGCTTCCTCCATCAAGGATTGTAGTGATGGATAGAAGAACACTTGTGTTTTTCAAATATCCACACAACCAATTACAACCAAAAAATTTCAAATATCCACTCCACATCACCAATGATGATAACAGAAACAGAAACAGAAAGCTTAGATTGGATGGTGTATAAGTTTTGCATGTCTTGACACTAACAAAATTGGAAGCTTCGTGTAACCCAACAAAGCAATTACATATTAATGCTAGTTGCAATAGCAGTAGCATTAGGTGAGTTAAGCAAAGAGTGAAGAAAAGGAAACCAAAGAGCAACTGGACGTGGGCTGGGTTTAGGTGGAAGGGGGAAAGAGCAAGGAAGGGGTGGTATAGAAAATATTAGAATTCTTAGAGAGTTGTTTTTTTGGCTTGTGTCCATGTGGTGGATGTGGCTTCCACGTCGGTATGAAAATAGGGGATGTGGCTTCCACGTCGGTATGAAAATAGGGTCTTACGCTTGCCACATCACCAATTTAATAGAAACTAAAACATCACCAGACGAGACCTAAATCTCGTTCTTGTTAAATTGCTTGTTCAAACACACCATAAGGGGAACCAAAAAAGAAATCAATAGCTTTTGTCTCTTAATCATGATTTACAGGACCATAAACTTTAGTCATTGCCTCTTTTTTCCCCCCTCCTATCTTGATCTGAATATAGGAATCCATTAACAGGAGCACCAGAGTGCTCAGCCCAAGCAACCAATACACCACCAGCAGGTTACATTGTTAGAACTTCCCAAATTGCCTAATTTCATAGTTGTAAAACGAACATTTAAAGACTTTCGAAACTGCGACTGAATTCTGTCACTCTGATTTTGCAACATATGATTCAAGTTTGTGCAGCCAGTCCACATATTGAGCTTGCTCCTTTTTGTGAAGGTGGTGGAGGAGGAAGTTGGTCAGGCTTTCTCCAATACCCTTGGATACTAGATATTTCTTAAGCTCAACTTGTAATTTCTTGTCCAAATCGCTGCCAAAGATACAGACAAAAAACAAGAAAGACTAGAATAAGAAAATAAATCTAGGAATAAAAAAAGGAAGAGAAAGTTTTACTATTCAAAGACAAGAAAGCAAACATATAGGTAGGCAAGTAAACACAGTATTTATATGCAACAATAATAGGATGGATGACTTTCAGAAAGCAACTGAAGTAGGGTAATCCCACAAAAGAAATTATAAAATTAAGCATGTAAAAGATAGCCCAGATTAAGTAGAAAGCAGAGCAATGCAAGATGGATAAGCAAGCCAAAATAGGTTGGTTTTCAGGTACAATCTGAAATAAAGAAACAGCACTTCATTCAGACATAAAGAAGTGTACAATCTGATATTACAACAATTTGGAGATGCTAAGTTTGTCTGCTGACAACCAAAGCTAAGCAGTTAGCAAGACAATTGAAGGAAGAAACTGATACACGCACAGATGACCAAAATCGCACTCTATCACACAAACCTCCCTCCCTCTCCCCTAATGATGTCCAAAATTCTTCTATTTCGTTCTACTCTTACCATCCAATACACAGCCATCACACCACTCCTTAACACCACACCATTTTTCCCTCTGCCATAGCCTTGGGGTGCTGCTGCTGGTTCTCAACTCCACCATAAAAGAAGTTCGACGACATTGAAAGTAGGGCTGACATTATGTCATCTGGTAGAAATACCCTAAGCATTTCAGCTAATCTTCTTCTATATTTGGCTAATGTACTTTATATTTAGCATGACCAATCTTCCTAGAGTCTAGCTTATGATAAACTAACTTCGCAAATCACTTTCCTTACATGCACCAAAACTTTATCAACTTTCGGTAAATTCCTTGAAGAGGCATTGTTGGTTTGCATTCACTCTGTACTTAGGAGCATGATCTCATCATAAATAGGCCTTACATGATCAGCATAGGCAGCTCCATCTTCACTAACTCGTGAATACAGCATATTGCAGCTTCTCTACACGAGCAACCTAAAAAGGAGTCCTCTCAGCGGTGATACTGCCTTTCGAAGTTCAAGAACAAAGTCTATGCTAAGATGAAGCCAAGGTGTGGGACTGGAGTGTACAACCCGTATTTTGTAAGGACATGCTATTACACACAGCATCTCTTCACCAAGCTTCCCAATTCTCAGTTCTTTGGCCAATAATATTGATCCATCACTAGCCAAAGTCTTAACTTCTGACTAACTCCCTAATAATTTGTTCTTACAAAGAACTCTCTAGCATGCAAAGTTGGTTACTATTGAATAAGAAACCATCAAGCAAAATTCAAGCAAAAATTCAGAAAGAAAAAAAGAGATTAATTAATGTAATTGTGGGGACTTCTCACAGTACCTTAACAGCATATTCAATTAGGTTTTTATGCCTTCTGGTGCAGTCTAGCTACAAAGGATGCCCTATCAAACAAATAGATGAAAATGTTCTAGTAGTCTCTGGAAAGTACCCCCAAAAGATTTAGTGCAGCAACAATCAGATTCACTTTTGCTCGATCAATAATCCACTAATTATATGGTTCTGATTTCAGCGTTCCTCCATAGTCATATTCCCAATAATAGCAAAAGTTCATATTTCTGATTTGTTACAACACAATTGAAGGTTTCATATAGATAAGATCAATTTCATTCCTTTGGGATAATTCTAAAATACATTAACTCGTTTTGAAGGAAAAAGAAAAAAATTATAAATAACATAACCTGCTCATGGAATAAAAAAGAGAGGGGAGAGGCCCAAGGTATAAATTCATCATGGTTATTCAAAATTTACTCTGCTTAAGAAAACTCAGCTCCAAAAAAAATGGCTCAGTTCCTGAATGGCTTTCTTGAGGATAACGTTGCAAAGCACAAGTTTCGACTGAAACAATGAAAGAACCACCTCTTCAGATATTACAGTGCTTTTGCTGTGTCTGCAAACCTTATGTTGCATTTTGTTTTTGTCCTGTTTATGTTCTATAGAAAGAAAGTGAAAATAATTGACAACAAGCAAACGTTTCTTTTCAACCAAAGTCCCAAAGGTAATGATCATAACAGAAACAGAAAGCTTATCTTCAGATGGTGTATAAGTTGATATAAAGTAAATGCATATCTGAATCTGACTAACCTGAATGGGGGGTTATAGACTGAAGGGCCAAGACCAACAGATGGTTGAAAACAATAGGCATTATGGATTTTAAACCCAGACCCAATACCATCTTTCTCATAAACACTGCAATCAAACTGCAGCATTGAGCTCAAACCAGGCTTCTTCAAACATACCTTCATCAAAACATCCCTTGTGTAAAGACATTCCACTCCCTCCAAGCCATCAGGACTAAAAGGACCCAACAAAGCTGAAACAGCAACCTCCTCACCACTCTCATACTTTCTCCTCAAAACCAAATCTTGGGACTGTGGCAAATCGCAATCCACCACAAACTCACCCATTGAAGAGCTTCGGCTTACCTGTATCATCAATAACTTAACCAATATTCGTCTACCCACAAGCTAATTTCTCAAAAAACAACAGAAACAAAAACAAGAGAGAGAGAGAGAGAGAGAGAGAGAGAGAGAGAGAACCTCAGGGGGGTTAAAGGAAAGCTCATGCTGAATCTCAGACTGCAAAACCTTGAGCAAGTTGAGATCTTTGAGAGCTTTGCCACCCTGGCGTAATGCAGCGTTCGCCTTCGACATTCTATATGGCAGTGGCATGTCACAGTCTCAGCTCAGAAACAAGAATGGCAGTGCCTTCGACAATAGACTTGTGGGAATTCTTAAACCTTGCTTGGTCTTTTTGGGCTTTTGCTCTCCTGGACCAGAGACGAGGCGAGTGCCAAGCCCTAAATCGTATATGAATATTAAAATTATTTGGATAATAATATCTCTAAGTTTTATATTATAACTAACCAATAAGGTTTTCCTTTTTTTTTTTTTTCTTTTTTTTTTTCGTTGTGTGCATATAAATTTTTGGTTGGAATAGATTTTAATTTTTAAATCAGGTATATATAATTTATTTTGAGCGGGAATAATCTTTGGTAAACTATTAGAAAAATGTGATTGTCGTCATTTTTGTTTAATGGACATTTTTGTCATAATTATTTTTGGTGAATTCTGTGACATCACAAGTTAGGGCATAAATGTACGATAGTAGTGATAAAAATGAGAGGAATTAAACGACACATTATTCTAGCTAATTGGCCTTATTTGCATCCGCACGAGAATGAATTTTCTATTTGTTCCTATTATTTTCTTTAATAGTGTGTCAATTGACATGTTTTGTCTTTATTTTGTTCTTTTTAATTTTTAATTTTATTTTTATAAAAGCGATATTAAGGGCTCGGGCAGGGGTTTTGAATGTTTCACCCTTCTATTGAGGACGCCCTTTAGGGTACCCTATAATTTTTTTTTTTTTTCCAATGATCCAAACCATCTATTTTTAAGGTTTTCATTCATAGATTATCTTTACAAAAAATTAGACAAATCGAAAACCGTTCAGACATCTAATTGTGTCCTACATAATCAATGAATACGGTACTTCAAGAAAGTACTAAAATTTCAATAATTTAATTGAGTTATCAAATGATATCGGATTCAAGTGATTTTTTTTTTTTTTTTGCAGAGATGATCTTCAAATGAATATATATAAAATAGACATTTGGATTAGTGAATACAATGCAAAGTAGGCCATACAAAAATGTCCCTCAAATAACCTTTATTTGAGAGATCCCACCATTAAAGCTCCTTGTATATTTAGACTATAATTATTATTATTTTTTCCAATGAACCAAACCATTTATTTTTAAGGTCTTCATTAATAGATTATCTTTACAAAAAATTAGACAAATCAAAAATCGTTTAAACATCTAATTGTGTCATACAAAATCAATGAACACGGTGCTTCAAGAAAGTACTAAAATTTCAATAATTTAATTGAATTATCAAATGATATTGGATTTCAGTGATTTTTTGCAGAGATGATCTTCAGATGAATATCTATAAAATAAACGTTTTGATTAGTGAAATACAATGCAGAGTAGGTCATACAAAAATGTCCCTCAAATAACCTTTATTTGAGAGCTCCCTACATCTATATATATAAAGCAAAAGGCAAGAGAATGATAAAACATTCAAAATATCAGAAAATGCCATTGGTTAATTCAAACATTAAGAATTAAAATTATTAATTAAATGAGGATAATATGGTAAATTCACGCTTTTTATATTATAAAAAATTAAAATTAAAATTAAAATCAGATAATGAACCCTATTTTTATGGAACACAACTACCCATTATCTTTTTGAATTCTAAAATAAATTTTAATTTTTTTTAAAAAATGTCTCTCGCAAGCATGGAAGCGCGTGCGGAGAGGCTAGTCTTTTCTTAATTCTAAAAATAAAATAAAAAATAAAAAAAGAAAACCAATTGGCACATGCGCCAAGGGGCTAGTATATATAATAAATGTCCTTATTTTTTGGTATACATTTTTTAATATAAATAATTCGTTAATTTACTATATTATTCTTATTAATGAATGATTTTATTTTTAATATTTCATTAATTTTTGTTTGTTTTGAATAATGAAAGTTTCACCTTTTAACGCCTTCAAATTTTTAGGCAGGGACAAGAAATTGCGAGAGAAGCGTAGTTCTGAAGCGGTCTGCTGTTTAGCAATAACAATACAATGGCCGTTTAAATTGTGTTAGGGCTTTGCAAAAGCTCTTAAACCCTTTCCCTCTCTTGGACAGCCATGGCCACCGACCAAAACATGAGTAGCTGGACCGATCTGCTCCACTCCTCCACCAAGCTTCTCGAACAAGCCGCTCCTTCCGCGCAGTTCCCTCCTCTACAGGTTCAGCTCATCTCTCCTTACTTTCTTTCCGTTTGGTTCTCGAGAAAACGAAGGAAATTTGACATCTTCCCGAGAAACTTCTAGTGTTAGGGTTTCACTGACATTCGAGAAAGAATTTTATCAACTTAGGCATAGTCTAATTCACCATTTAGGTTTTTGTTATCTTTCTGTAATGGCTGTGTTTGCTTTAGTTTTCCAAGAAAATTCGGGAAAAGAAAATAAAAGTTTCATTTCTAGTGTTTGATTTTCGTCATTTTGAATTCTTTAGAAATTAAAAGGCAAGCTCACATTAGCTGCACTCTCGCTAGGTCCATCAAATAACAATGTGTGTGGTTGCTAAAAGAATGAAGGATAAAGGAAAAGTTAGACATCTGAATGTTGGATGATTCATTACCCAGATTTTGGGACACATTATTCTGCACCCTGAGGGTCCACCGCTGAAGCAATTAGATGCTATTTGATTAAGAAGTATACAAAATCAAGTCCTAATATTAGTCTTTAGGTTCATATAATATTATTGCTGTTCCACTGACTGTAATGCACATATTTTGGTGTGTTTCTTCGCCTTCCATTCCACTGATGCTCTGCTGGGTTGCTGAAAAGATGTTTAGATAAGATTTTGAATCAAAACCCTAGACTTGTGCCTTTTCCTTTTGTATTTGGAATTTTTTGACTGGTGGTGTCTAGTTGAGACAAAAAGGAGATCAACTGTGGAAATTTAATTTTTCCGGTTATATATTATGAGACCAAAAAGATCAACTTTTCTATGGATCCAGGTGTCTAGTTTTCAGGACTCTGAATTCATATTTCTATCTGTTTCAGAGAAATTTGGATCAGTTAGAAACATTATCGAAGAAACTCAAGGCGAAAACTTTACGAACTGAGACTCCTCAACAATCCATTGCTGCCACGAGGTATTTGAATGATTACTGTCTCAAAAGATATTTTATTGCTCAAATTCACTTTACTTCATGTTAATAAAGTTCTTTTCCTAAAACAAGTCACTTTAATTCAGTCTACTCGCTCTTAAAACATAAAAAAGTGAATTGAAACATGGATTTGCAGATAAGTTTGAGGGTATGTATCAAGTTCTGTTCTGCGTTCTGTGTCGTGTGCTTAACCTTTTAGATGGTACGTTCTGTTCAACTATATCCTGTTGATATTTTACAGGCTTCTTGCACGTGAGGGACTAAATGCGGAGCAGCTTGCGCGTGACCTTAAGTCCTTTGAATTGAAGGTAATTATACTTATACATTATACTGTGTATAAATCTGCCTGCTTGGCATTGTTAACCATGCCAAAACATTTGATGAGTCAATTTGGATACTTCATATTTGCCTTTGCTTCAATAAATTTCCTTTCTTCTAAAAAAAATAAAAAAAAATAAAAAAATAAAAAATTGGATACTTCATATTAAAATTTTGTGTGTTTCACGAACAATGTAAAAGTAAAATTAATATTTAGAGGAATCTCCTTATATAAAGACAAGCGAAATGTGATTATTCTTTAATTCCAAAATTTTATTTGTAAGTCATGGTTCTCTTTATTCTCAGTTCAGCTCAATCAAGGAACTATTTGTTCAAATTTAACTGTACTTGCTTTGAGTTATTTTCTTAGGTCAATGGCTGCGTTATGTCTCCTGCTACCCATTCACTTCTCTTGCTGCGCTTAGACATCTAGAGAACAATTGTGTCATAATCTTCTAGGTTCAGAAATGCTTTTACTCATTCTTGACCTTCTTATACTAATTAGTTTGGTGATTTTCCCTTTTCTTTCATCATTCAAAGACAACCTTTGAAGATGTTTTTCCGTCTGAAGCTACAACTGTCGAAGAGTATCTGCAGCAGGTAGATTTAACTCTTTTCACTAATGATCTGATTAGTTTAGTATATGTTCTTTTCATTACTTTAACATTCGGTACTCTTGCTAAAACATGATTTTATTTGATTGTTGGCTTTAAATTGTGTGGAATAACATGATGGAACTAATGAATTAGCCATTAGAAACTATGTATTTATTTTGAAAGAATTTTTGTTGTTGAAACTTTGGCTATTAATATAGGTATTACAAGATGCAACTCCAACATATCTTATAATGCTTGTTGCCAGTTGATTTTTCTTTTTCTTCCTTGCATGTTGACATCAGTATGACATATTGGTTAATTGTTCAATGATATTCCCCTCATACCAGCATTTTTATCCTTGCTTGTAATGATTCAGTGGCATCTCGGTTAATTACTTCTGCTTCATGTGTAATTACGTATCTTTCACTGTTCACTGCCAATGAAAAGTATTAAGAGAACGATCATAAGTAGTCGTGCTTGCGTTGTTTTTATTTTTTCTTCTGTGGGTGATGCAAAATTATGCAAGGTTTTACTTCCATGTGGATTTATGCTCTCAACATTATCTAATTATATTTCTCCCTCCAAAGTCAAAACTACATCTACATTTGTCTTTATTTACTCTCCAATAAAAATGCATCTATTTGGTTTTTTTTTTTTTCCGAATATTTGTCTGTCTAACGGTCCCTGATAGAGTAGTGTTTCATGATTTTTTATTTATGAATTTTCTCCTTATGGCTCACATATGAATTTATCCATTTATTGCGATGTCAGAGTGCAGCTTATAAAATGTGATCAAATCATTTAATACGGCCTTACATATTGGCCTTATTTTGCTTACCTTAAAATGCTTTTAGAGACGTGCTTTTAATTTCTCTTCAAATGAATTAGCAATATTATCTAATATGGTTGCACATTTTTTTCTCTTTATGCATAGCTTAAAATGCTTTTATTCACTTTTCAGAGGAAATGCTTATTCTCCTTTCTGAGAGATTGATAGTGGTACCTTGATCATAATGTGTATAATTTTTTTTTCTCATTAGGTCCATCAAATGACAATGGTCTCAGCTCTTCAAGAAGCTCAGAAGGATAACCTTAGAAGTTTTAATGATTACAT